TATTATAAGCATATCCAATAATCAAAACAGATATTGAAAATAGTTAAAAATGCGTTAAATGTGAGTTTTAAAGAAAGACGTTTAACTCGCATTTTCTTTAAAAAAATTCAATTATTTCATTAACATTTATTAATTTTGCGATACAAATTTCTGAATATAATTTTCATCATTTTATTATGAAATTTTATATGGAATATGATATCAAAAATTTTCGAAATTTTACATTCGAAATAGTCATATCTCATTTAAATTTTCGGATGTAAAATTACATGGGGTAAGATATTTTTGGACGTAAATTTTTTATTATAAAATTTCTCCCCAACTTTTTTACAAGTTCGATAATGCCCCCCTAACTTTTAAAGTCTGTGTCCGCCCCTGGTTCCATCGTTTTTATGTATCGACCATTGAATAATCTATTTAATGACAACACTGCTGCAAAGACCGTGCATGTTGCTATGGCATCTAAGTGACTCCATCTTAATTTGCCTAGTATTTGAGTCCATTTGTAAGTGAAGTGACTTGTGAAATTCGCAATGTTACTCTTCAACATAATCTATTGGTTATGGATCGTCAAGTTGTGGTTCAACTTGTTAGGTTTTTAGTAGTGGTGATTTTGTGGACAAAATGACTAATTTGTAACGTGTTGTAAAAGTCAATGATCTATGGTGCAATTTGTATAAATTGGATTATAAGGTCTAGGGTTCGAGCATGAAAAGAGGAAAAATACGGCACCGTATTTTCGTTAGCTTCTCGCCCAGTTTGCGCTCAAACGACAAAAACAGAATGCATGTCGTCCGCCTATAGCCGAGCTCTCACTCGAGCAACTGGTCAATCCAGAAAACCCTAATTTGCTGTTTTCAAGTTTTTTTTTTTTTGGTCCATTCAACCTAATTACCATCTTCTATAAATACCCAAGCATATGCACGAATTGTGGTGTTGTTGTTCATTGTGCTTATTCTCTAAACACATTCATATTATTCTTTGAAAATCCAAGAATCTATTCATACATTGATTCCATCTTTTCTTCTTGAGATCATACAACCACATATTTGGGAAAAACATCAAACTCATTGAATCCAAAACATCACCTACTTCCTGTTGGTCATAGAAATGTACTTTCTCAATTGAACTTCAGAGGTTGTTGGAGATTGAGAGAGGTTGGACTACAAGCGCAGGAAGAACACATGGCCTTGAAGTTGGTTCTTATAATTCCACTTGAACGAAACAATTGCAAAAGATCTTGGAGCAGATATTGGAGTTAGCAGGAAATAGATCGAGAAGTATAATGAAGTTGACTAGATAGCATCTGACTGTATCTCACTCCGTATTGTCTATAGTTGAGGTAACTAACTAGGTTTCGAAGTTTTTACCCCAATTGGATTTCTCTGTCATCAATATTGTATTATTTACTGCTTTCCTTGTTATTGTGGTAATTCAACATAGTATAACTGGACTTGTATGCTTAATCGTCTAGAAACAATTAAAAGTGACTTGTTACTTTTAATTGATTAATTTCGCACGCATGGTCACAACTAAAAATGAATAAGTAATAATCATTCGATAACTTAAAAGCCGTTAGATTGGTGATCCGTGAATTGTTAAGTGGTATCATGTGCGACACTCAATTTTTCACAACTCCAATGACTTTTATAGGGATTTAATCTTTCTTTGTACACCACGATTACAATAATCGACACAAAAACGCAAAGCTCCCGGGCCAAATAAAAAAAAATAACAATAGAATTCAAAGATTTTAAGTAAGAAACAACTCGATTCTTGTTTCATCTCCTTGACGCAGATCACCAACTTGTACACGATTAGTAAGATTAGCTAATTTCAATTTAAAGATTTGAAATAATTAATTAATTCTTCAAATGACATATATTTAAAGACATGATAAACCAACTAAAACTTCAGGAATTGTGACGAATTACATAACCAACATCGCACTACCAGTTAAAGATCTTATGCCCGAAATTTACCTACAATACATTTTTGGCACTTTGATCTATAACGCTTCTTAGTAAATGAGCAGATGTCAATGTGCAACGTATCCTGCTATCAAAAACTTTGTAGGCGTAGATAAATTATGAATAAGTAAATAGTGTTTGTGAATTTATAAATGATTTAATTTTATAAATATATATAAATGAGTTATGAATAAATAAATAGTGTTTGTGAATTAAATTATTTGTGTAATTAAAAAAAAAAAAACCATATAAAGTTCCAGCGAGGACATAGTTAATATATTGATGTCAATACTATTTGAGTCAAAGGAGCTATTTTGATAACCCCAATTAAATAAAATAAAGTCAACAGTTAATATTTTGTGGACTCACAAGTTGCTTTTAACCATTGTCCAACCCAATGGAACAAATCTGACTACACCTTGAATGTTTATTATGTAATACTTATGATTAAACAATATGATAAAT